ATATATATGTATATATAACTAAATGTGCTGCACACTAGCCACCGAACGTTTCAGCTAATACAACATTCTAGATAGCAAAATATTTTTTGGCATAGCATGCAAAGTGTAGGATTAAAAGTATTATAAACAAGAAGGCCGATTTGGATTCTGCTGAGTCTCTGACTGGCGTTAAAATAGAACAAAGGACTGACCACGCCTAAATGTCGGGTTGCAAGAAAAGTGGAACCGTATACCTTTGTAATGTACTACTCATAGGGTTGCTGAAAATCCGTTGACAGCCCACGACCGGTTTCGACCTTTTTGGGGCTCATCAGGTAGGCGCAGTCCCCGGATTTCCGTCAACCTTGAAACCAAATTGCACGAAATTACCAAATATACACTCATTTGCAAACGAGAGATTCAGCTGGGTTCTAGGTTATTCTCTCGAAAAACCAAATTAGTTTGCAAATGAGCGTATATTCGGTAAAAGTGGAACCGTTTTGGGTTGTCTTGGAGTCTTCAGCAACCTTGTAAGTAGTGTGTTATGTCAGGGTGATTGAGTGTCTTTTGGAGCTTGGATCAGTGTGCTTTCAGCAATGGTCAGACTATGTTTCTCCAGTGTGGACCCTTGGGAATTTAGATCCTGGCTGTTTCCGTCTGGTAAAATCATGTTTATAAGCTTGAATGAGAGCGTTTCAGGGCAGTACGTCACTGCTGTGTGTATTTTGAACAGTTATCTCCGAAATAATCAATGTTGAAGGCACCCAACATATATGCTACGTCTGAAGGATAAGTCACGTGATACGATGCATGTGTCCATTTCTATAGGCCTCTGTAGTGCATCAACAAGGATGAAACCGGTCGTGGGCCATCGGAGATTTTTCAGCAACCTTACGAGTAGTGTGCTACGCGAATCAAAATTATTGAAACCTACTTAACTGGTTCATGAACACTGTCTAATTCAAACGCGTGACTCCAATAAACTGAACTACCCAAACATGCCCTAACCAGGCCAAGTCTACTCAAAAGTGGCTGGAAAACATGGAGCCTAAGATGAAATTCCAGCATGCAAATTCACGACTATGTCACGTGGTAACTGATGAAATGTTTCGATAACCTTAAAAAATTTGCCTGATATATCTCAATATGAAAGCCTTAAACAGGTAAGTAAGATACAAAGTTGTCAGGTAGAGTGGTGAGGCTGATAGCAGAACAGTCTAAGTGGAGATGGTGAAGAACGTCGGAGACGATTCGCCAGGTGAAGCTGAAGGACGCATGACCATAGTTTATGATGATGTCATCCAAGAATTGCTACTATACTGGATGAGGTGTTTTGTTGACCTGGCAACGAAACCGACGATGCTTTTCCAAGGTGGATTATTGGGTGAGGAAATTTGGTAATTTTCAATGGAGATTTAATCCTGTCGATGAAGCCACTCTATGCTGGAGATCGAGAGGCACTCTACTGCGGTTTCATTCACACTATGAATCACTAGTTTTGCGAATCTCACGAAGCTCAATGGAGTTTTGAACCCTAGACCTCTCGGTTAATAGTCTGAAAACCGTTTCACTTTAATATTCTGGTGAAAAGAATTAGATTAGGAAAACAGATGAGGAATTCCATGGTTGGACATCGAACTTTACCGAAGGCACTCCAGATGCTTGTGTGTGGGAGGGGGAGGGAGGTGTGTGCCAAAAACAGGGTCACACCTAGATACTTCACCGTTGAAGTTTTCGATGGATAGACAATAAAAGCAGTAAGGTAGTAATGACTTCTGAATGGATTGTTAAAGTGCGGATTGGAGTTGAGGGAAAAGATAAAATGACGCTTCAAAGCTGTGAGAGGAAAGCGGCATTTGAGCGATCGGCTAACAACCTGTCAGTGTAACTGCAGATGTGCTCCAGGCAGCCGTCTCATGAGGAGATTTTTACTGGGGGGGTGAGAGATTGGTATGCCCCTTAGGTACCGAAAGAGCTCAAGATAACCTAGTGATTAGGACATGAACCCACTGATCGGGAGAGTGGTGGTTCGAACCCCACCTCTATATCTCGACTAGTCCTGTCTAGGATTTGGCAACTTGTCAGCATATGAGCGCTCGTGCTTTCTTCAGGCAGCATGACAGCTAGGTACCGAAGGGGTGTTACAGCTGCACGACCCAAAATGGGGACAGATAGAACTGATCGCTAGTTTGGCTATTATTCTTGGGTCGATATACCGCGGACACTTTCCTCACATGAATACAAATCCTCTGTAAATGCCACCTTAAGACACTACGTCTCCGAGACTAGTTGTCTGTGGGCGCCACATCTATGTGACACTTCATCTCCGAGAGGAAGTTACACCCTTGTTTCACTCAGTCCCGGAACACCACGCTCTAATATAATCCATTCTAAGATGTCCTATTCCTGAGATTCTGCACCCCGGGTGTCATGTAGCTCTTAGGTCCACATACCAGTGAAAGGAAGAAGGCCTTCGCTGCGGAGTTACTTATTAGAAAATGCCAACCGAACAGACTGTTGGACAGGGAAGAAAAACTCTCATATGCATCTTGTTCAAAAAAACTGAATATCCATTTTCTGTTTGAACGCGTCTTCCTGAACTTTTTTGGATATTCATTGACTGTTGCTCAAACCCAAGCAAATGCTACAAAGCAACTTTACAAATCCCACAACAGATCTCCCTTTTCAAGAGACGTAAAGCGAATTTACAAACAGAAAACATGCTACTCGCATGCCTCCCCCATCAGTAGTATCACCGTTACACCTGGAGAAGTCCTTGAAAACGTTTCCCACAGCATCCGTAGCGTCGGCTTATCAAGGCAAATATGACTTCACTCCGTCTTGTTCTTGAACTTCCCATACTAAGTTGATATATTTCATGAAGCTTTGTCCTGAAGGTCCCTTCTTACATATGAATGGATTATGCAGCTACGGACTTCAGCATTAATCGATGCGCAGTTTTTGATGAATCCGTGGTGACACGCAAGCACAAATGTGTACAAGCATACGTGTGTTGGCCCACACAGGTTTTCGTAATCACTTTTCTCAAGGTCATTAATCACACGGCAATATAAAAATGAATTAAAACAAGCGGTGGAATTGCAACGACCGCATCCACCTCAGATCGAATGATATTGTAGGTCTTTCCAGACTCCGTGTGGTTGGCCGGCAGTGA